CTGGTTTAAGAATGCAGGTGCCTGGAAGCCTGCAGAGGCTAATAGAGGGTTCTGGAAGATAGGAAAGGAAGGAGTACTGCTCGCTGTGGGAAGCCTCTGAACAGCTCCACCCCATGCAGCTCTACTTGCTTCCCCTCCGCCCAGGCTCTCAGATGGTCCCTTTGTCCTTTGGTGTTTTGTTCTTGCAGCACCGGTGGCTGTTGTGTAATGGTGGCTGGGGCAGGTGTGGGGGGTCAGAGGCTTCAGAGCTGACCTGGCCACTGCAACAGTGAAATCTCTTCTCACAGCATCCAGCAAGAAGTGAGCCTTGGTTCCAAAGTGGTGTGCAAATGAAGGTTCCTAGTGAACCCTCACCTGCTCTCATTCTTCTCAGATGTTGTGTCCCCTTGTCCCTCACTCCTAAAGCCTTGATGGGCTTTTGTTGTTGTTTTGTGTGTGTGTGTGGGGGGGTGGCTCATCAATCCTCAGGGAAATGGGTCACTGTGCCTTTCTCTTCTTAGGGTCTGTCTTGCTAGGATCCTGGGCACCCATGTCACTGGGTGGAGAGGCGCCCTTGCCTAGGAAGGTAGCCTGTGCAGATAAGCAGCTTCAAAGACTGCCGCCACAGACTTATGACTCCCAACACCAACTGCCTGGGACAAAGTTCAGCAATGTTGGGGGTAGGGATGTAGAAAGGCCACTTTACTGCTGTTCCCAGCCCCTTCCTGGCAGGCCACATGACTCTCCACAGCTGTAAATGGCTGGGAGGCTTGGGTTCCCTCCTGGCCAGGCCAGGTTGATAATCTAGGGTTGAATGAGAGGTAATAGATGCAGTAAATACCATATTTCAGCCTCAGGTTTCTGTTGATTCTTTCCCCAAATTCTGTCTTTAAGAAGAGAAGAGTCACTCTTTAATAGATCCTGCCTGTTCATATAACTATTTCTATGACTAGACTGTTTTACATATTTTTGAGTCTTAGAATATCAATGGGGGGGAGGTGGGGGCTTGGTACCTTTAATCCCAGCACTCGGGAGGGAGGCAGAGGCAAGTGGATCTCTGAGGACAGCCAGGGATACACAGAAAAATCCCTACCTCAAACCCCCAAAAAGATTTAGGGAGGGTGCCATAATAATAAGTAATATCCATAGAGTTCATTGGGATGGTGGTGGTGTTGGGTGATGGTGGTTGCAAAGGTGGTGATGATACAGTTTTCAGGGTTTAAACTCCTTTTCAATTCTCTTAAGGTTGTTTTCCAAGACCTTTGTATCACAGTTGCCTAGGGGCTCTCTCCAGGTCCCACCTTCAAATCAGAATTCCTAAGGGTAGGGCCAGCTAATCCTTATTTTGGTAGAACTCCCCAAGTATTTCGAGTACCTAAACCCTCTTTAACACTTGTCCCCATTTTGGGTCACCCTCCCTCCAGACCCATCCCCATAACTTCCTTGGGTTGTGCCTTTCTTGACCGTTTCTGGCTAGAGGCAAACCTGGCTCTTAAAGGGAGGTGGGGCTGGGAGGCCTGAGGGGTTTGTGTCTCTAGTTGTGATCCCCAGATAGGAAGAGAGTCCCAAGTGAGAGGCTTAGTATTTAGCTTTCAAACTGGCCATGGATAAAATCACCCTGACTTTGTCAGACCACAGACCCTTCGAATAGTTGTGAAATGTTATGAGCAGACATTTTCCTCGAAAAATCCTGCTGGATAATGTTGTACATTCTCAAAGGAAATGTGATCACCAAACATGAACTCTTCTCATCCTGGGGCGGGGAGCAAAGTGAGGAAGCTTTGTGTGGTCCTCTGGAGATACTTTTTGAGTTGGAGCTTGAAGTATGATGGAGGGTGGATTCAAATGGGGCATCATAAAATCCTCTCTTGAAAGAGAGCAAGCCTGGGGCTGAAAATAACCATTTGTGCTTATCTGGTAAAGGTCTCACAGGTTGTGGAGGTGCCTATGTTTGGGGGCGGCTCCTCAAGGGAGGTGAAGTGCTTGAGTTGTGTAAGGAATCAGTACATTTGGTGAACATTTGCTGAGCACTACCGCTGAGTAAACTCAAAGTGGAGATTTGCATTTTATCCTAGTAAATTCCTAGGGAATTGGCAAATAGGCAAATGAGTGAACCATTTACCATACAACCAGGTATGGGCCACCAGGGCCCATACCAGGGCCACCAGGAATTAAACCTTGGGAATCACACAAGACCTAAGAACTGTTTACTTCAGGTTTACTGTGTGTCTGGGTCCAATGCTAGATGACAATTAGAGAGATATAACTATAGTCTCAACTATCAAGAGGCTGAGTCTAAGACCAGCCTGGACTACATCTTGAATTCCAGGTCAGCCTGGGTTACAGTGTATAGGACCCTGCCTCAAGAAATGCTCTCCACTTACTGTCCTGTAGCAAAGATAACCACTGGTCAATTTTCCAAACAGGCTGAAACTACACTTTGCTAAGTGCTTTGAAAGAAAGACCATTTGTTGAGTGCCTACATTGTTATAAACATTCAACCTACATTAACTCAGACCCAGTAAGAAATAGGTAGTATCGTCTCCATTTGACAGATGAAAAAACTGAGGCTTTCAATTGTTTACTCCAGGAAATAGGCAGCCAGGGCTTGCCTCACATTATTTGAGGTCACAACCAAAGCTCATCTCCACCCTGCTGCCGTACAGGTGCCAAAGGGGTACACAGAGATAACCCAGCAAACTGACAGTCATGAGCTAAACTACTGTTAGAGCAGATGGGCCCAGTCTTTACTTCTGTTGTGTTGTAGTGCCCAGGACATTTACATTGTAAGTGACTAATAAGCTTTTGTTGAGAAGCACTTGCCATATACCCAGTTTTTACCAAGCTACATCAGTCAGGGTGGGTAGGGGTGTGGGGGGTGAGCGTATGAACTCTTGCCTCTTTGGAATGTCTGGCGTCTTCCTGGGGAGACAGAGAACACAAGAATAGGTGCCCAATACTATAGCTGAACAACAGGGCTGGGCGGTGTCCGGGGCAGCCAGTGATTCACTGCCTTAGGATTGGCGTAGACAATAAGTGGCTGTGAGTTGGAGGAAGGAGAGGTCACTGTGGGCTGGAGAGGCCTAGGAAGGCATTGCAGGGTTACAGGTGGTGGCAAAACCTGTCTTCAGTGGGATGGGCAGTGCTGGGCTTGGGATAGAGACTCTAGAAGTAAGGAAAATGAATGGAAACTGAAACACTCTTCCCTCCCCACAGGAAATGCTGGACCAGAAACTTGGGATATGAATAGAGGAAGGGTTTGCCATGGTTGTTTTTTGGAGATGAGAGACCAGTGACTGGGACAGTCTGGCAGGGCTGGGAATGTGGGCAGGTGGACAGCCTCAGAGTGGGATGATGAAAGAACAGGGTATTGTGATGATCGTGGTGCAACTTCTAGTCTAGGGTGTGCACAAACACAGCCCTTCCTGGAAGGATCTGGGGGTGGCAGAGAGAGAAGGGTATAAGATACACTGGACCAGTTAGAGATGGAGGAAGGGATGAGCGTGCAGCAGGTTCAGGGATAAGGGTCAAACAGGAGCCAAAGCCAGGTGTGGTAGTGCACATCTGTAATCCCAGCATTCTGGAAGCTGAGTCAGGAGGAGTTCAAGGCTGGTCTGGGATACCTACTGAGATGAGATGTTGTCTTTAAAAAGAACAAGGTCTGGGAATATAGCTCAGTGACAGACAATTTATCTAGCATGTACAATGTCCTGTGCTCAATTCTCAGAACTGGGTAGGGGGGACATACATACATACATACACACACCAGGAAGTAGTTGATCATCTGGAGATCAGAGACAGTGGATCAGTGAAGGCTGATGGTGTCATCACAGCTCTGTCCCAGTTAGACCTGCTGAGCTCTCTGTTGCTAAGGACAGGTCAGGGAACTCCCAGTGCCAATTTGAGGGTCAGTCAGTCCTAACCCCAACCTTGACCTCTACTCTTTTCTTCTACACACATGCCCATGGCAACAGGCAGCAAGGAGTGCTGAGAACTGTGTGTGTGTGTGTGTGTGTGTGTGTGTGTGTGTGTGTGTGCATGTGGTGCGCGTGCGCACATGCACACCCTGCTTTGAGACACATTTGTGGGGAAGCCAGGGAAGGCTAACATCTACTCAGTTTTAGCATTTTCTTTTAAAAAAGTTTTTATTATATTTATTTATTTGTGTGTGGGGGGAGAAATTCATGTCATAGAATGTGTATGGAGGTCAGAGGATAACTTACAAAGGTCAGTTCTCTCCTTCTGATGTAGATCTCAGGGTTTAAATACAGGTCATCGGGTTTGGCAGCAGGCATCTTTACCCACTGAGCCATCTCACTGGCCTTGCTGCTAGTCATTTTCACAATATATTGGCATTCAATTGTGGGAGTGGGGAACATTGGGCACTGTGGATGCTGTTTGTCAAAAAAGGAGGAGTTGGGATGTATCAACTCATACACATAAGCTTATTTGGCATCTCAGAAGAAAGGGAAATGAAACACACACACCCCCTTCCTCTAGCTAACATGAATGAATGGAAAGTATGGAGAATGACGTCTCTCAGGGTCTGTGGCACCTGAGGGATGGGTACATGTTGCTTTTGTACTACAGATGTGGGGAGGAGTGCTCCAACTGGAGGTGTCCCAGGCCTAACCCTTCCTTCCAGTTGCTTTTGCTCCCTATCTCAGTATCAGGGTAATTACCATGGGTGACTAAGGCAGGATGCTGGTGAGAAGGAGGTGTTGTGCAAAGCATAGAGCTGAAAGCAGGGTGGGGGGCGGTACCCAAGGAACGTCAGCTGGGTAAGGGCGTGCCATGGGCAGGAGCTGCTGTAGACCAGCCTGTCGTCTTACCGACTTCTCCAGCTGGGTCAGACGAAGCTGCTACACCCCACTGTGGGTGAGGCTGGGGTTCTCTCTCTGTGGGAGAATGACGAATCAGTGGGAGAGGGAGAGCAGGGGGATTCTCTCTGTCAGCCTTTGGGGTCAACTTCCTCTTCAGAGCTGATGGCCTTTACTTTGTGTCTTCTTGTAGTTCTCCTGATTCTGGAACCTGCCAGGATGGGGCCTCTGAGGCCCAGCCCAGGGCCTGGGGGGCAGCAGTTGCTGCTGCCCCCCTTACTGCTGGCACTAATGCTCCTATTGGCTCCAGCTGCAGGCCATACCACCCAGGTAGTATACAAGGTGCCAGAGGAACAGCCGCCCAACACCCTCATTGGGAGCCTTGCCGCTGACTACGGTTTTCCAGACGTGGGTCATCTGTATAAACTAGAGGTAGGTGCTCCATATCTTCGAGTGGATGGCAAGACTGGTGACATTTTCACCACAGAGACTTCCATTGACCGAGAGGGGCTCCGTGAATGCCAGAACCACCCTAAGAAACCCTGTATCCTGGAGTTTGAGGTGTCTATCACGGACCTGGTGCAGAATGTCAAACCCCGGTTGGTAGAGGGCCAGATAGAGGTGCAAGACATCAACGACAACACACCCAACTTTGCCTCACCAGTCATCACCCTGGCCATCCCTGAGAACACCAACATCGGCTCACTATTTCCCATCCCACTGGCCACAGACCGTGACGCTGGTCCCAATGGTGTAGCATCCTATGAGCTGCAGGCCGGGCCTGAGGCCCGACTGGAGGTGGGGGAGGACCAAGAAGAGAAGCAGCCACAGCTCATTGTCATGGGCAACCTGGACCGTGAGCGTTGGGACTCCTACGACCTCAGCATCAAGGTACAAGATGGCGGCAATCCTCCACGTGCCAGCAGTGCCCTGCTGCGAGTCACTGTGCTTGATACAAACGACAACGCTCCCAAGTTTGAGCGGCCGTCCTACGAAGCTGAGCTGTCTGAGAATAGCCCCATTGGCCACTCGGTCATCCAGGTGAGAGGCTTCCTCCATCTATCTTGTCAGGGTGACCCAGCTTTAGAAATGGGACCCACCAAAACCAGGTGGGAGGTTCCTTCACTTAGAAAAACAAACAAAAAAACCCCAGAATGTTGTAGGAAGCTCCCTTCTCCCCAGCCTTAGCCAAAGGAGAATTTCACATCAACTTCCTCTCCTCCATCTGAACAAGTGATAGTGACATAGCATCTAAATAATATCATACCTCTCCATCAGATTCAACTTAGGGAAACTTCTGGGAACTGAAATTGCTCCAAGCTCAGGGAATGCCTTCTCCTTAGCCCAGGCTGGATCATGGAGCTCACCTTTTACCCAGTAGATCCTCTCCTGCCATGGGAGTATCTTCCCACCCAGGGTCAGATTCCTTTAGCCATGTGACATTTTGCTTCGGCTGGAGACACAACCTCATTGTGCCCCTTCAGCCAGGAAGGTTCTTGGTTTTGACAAATCGCACTGGACTGTTTATATACACGTTGCCTCCTTCCCAAGCCATTGGCTACCATGGGTTTGTGGTGTTTAAGACAGTTGTGGAGGGGGGGTCAGTAACTATGAAAGTTCTCAGCACCCTTCTTCGTGGGAACTGCTCCAGGGGCTGGGCAGCATCTTGGTGGGGCTGGGGCCTGGGAGGGAGCAGAGAAGCGTCCCTGCAGACAGGTGGGTGTTTCTCCAGCTGCCATCTCAGTCCTGGCCTCCTGCCAGTCCCATCTTCTTTCTCCTTCCCCATGGGCTGAAGCTATCTCTGTCCATGATGTGAGCAAGCCAAAGAGAGTTCAGCTGGCCTGGACACCGTTACCTAACCTGAGAGACCCTTCGTTCTGGGACCTGGAGCTAAAGTGGTGGGTGGCAGCTTTTATCTTTTCTAGATCTTGGTGGACTAGAATATGGAAATGAGGCTGAGAAAGAATAGAGAGACAGCCGTTCGGGGTGGTGAATAATAATAGCCCAGGTGCCGGGCACTGCTCTAAATGTACTATTTGTATTACATAATTTAATCCTTACAGTACAAGGTAAGTAAGCATTATCCCCATTTTACAGAAGGGAAGCTGAGCCCATAGATTTCCTAATTTGCCTGAGCCCAGAGCCCACCTTAGCTCAAGTCCCACAGTCTTGCTTTCCATCCCCTCAGTGAGATGGCACAGGGCATACAGAGTCCTTAGAGGTTGGCAGTACTGCAAAGTGGCTCAGTTAGAGCTGAGCAAGGGTAGAAAGCTAGGAGTCATAGACAGAAACAAAGATGGGAGGTGGGGAGAAGGAGATCGCTAAGAAGGAAGATGGCAAATCTAGAGACAGGGAGGGCATAGGAGCGTAGCCGTAGAGCTGGTGACGAACTGACTGGGGTTGAGTAGGGAAAATGGCTACAGGTTTGCCTTCAAGGGTGTGAAGGGACACCAGGGTACCTGGGAGCCCTTGTCCAGGAGTCTCCTCTGTAGAAAAACCTTGACAGGTAAGGATGGAGTTCCCTTCCTAAGGAGGACAGAAGTCCAGCAGTGCCGGGAGGGCCTCCAGGTATAGTGCTCAGCACTGCATAATTGGATTTCTTAGAAACAGATGGATGGGTAAATGAATGAACAAATGACTGACAGGCAGATCAAAAGGAAAGGGGGATTATTTAAGAATCACTTGTCAAGTTCTAAGCAGCATTAGGTATTTCTTTATATTATCTCATTTAACCTTCACCACAATCTTATGAAGTAAGTTCTATTATTGATCCCCATTTTATACATATGTTGAGTGAGGCTTGGGAAGATTAAATAATTGGCCCAAGGCCACACAATTAATTTGAAAGCAGTAGAGCTGGGATTTGAACCCAAGACTGATTTTGCTCCCTAGAGACTGCCAAGGTATTCTGCTCTTCTTTCCACCCACTCCCCCTCAGACACACACACACACACACACACACTTTATTACATTCTGTTTGCCGTAAATACTTCAACCCCTCACAAGTGGTACCTCATAGCCATCCCCACCTGGCTTCTGTTGCCCCATTACCACCCATGTTTGTATAGACTTGGTTCCAGTGCAGGGCGGCATTGGCGTGGGAGGGCGTGCCCACTGCAAAGGGACAGGCAGTTCATTGTTTGGTGCTGGAAGCCCAGCCTGCTGCCAGCAGGCTCTGTGGCCTGCACCAACCCCTCCCTTCTGGCCCCAGGCTCAGGCCGGATTCCTCACACTGGTGCCTTGCCAGCAACAGACAACAGTCAAGGAGCTGCAGCAACAGGTTTCCCCAGTTTGACAGCAGTGGCTGGGTTGGGCCTGCTGGGTGCTTTCTGATCTGTGTCTCTATCTGGCTGCTTTCAATAGAAATCCTCTCACCTGGGGCCTCTAGTTGAGCGTGGGGGTCTCCACTGATGCATGCACACACATGAACAAACACAGCTTCTCTCACTCAAATATCACGGCTTATAGTCACATACTTGTGTGTATGTCATATGCCTGCATACAAGGTATGTACGTAAGTACATGCATGACTACCATCTCGACTGCTCAAACACTTTCTCATATCTTCAGAAGGCAGGGGTGGGGGATGGGATGGGGTGGGAGAGCAGTTCATTTGGCTGAAAGGGTTTACTCAGTTGG